TATTGTTCTAGTAAGGGCCTTCCCAGAGCTAAGTATAGTGGAAGAAAGATATCATATTTCTCATGTGCTCTACTTTTATTTACTTATTCTAGTATAATGCTTGTATTTTTAGCTAATTGCTGACTAAGGAAAAAATAGAAATCTTGGCCAGATACACGAGGTTATTAAAAAAAAAAGGGCCATTAAATTTTCCCTTTTACCTACACAGAAGGATATCTACATAGATATGAGAAGTAGACACATGTCTGACTGGCTCACTATTCATTCAGGTATTTTTTTTAGGTTATCTTATTTTGATACCTCAAGTTTTCTTTTTCTGTTATTTTTCTATGTGAAAAAGTTGATAATTTCCAGAATATCAGCTTTCTGAACTTACCTTCAGTTAATATGTATGCAATATATTATGAATCTTAAGCATATATTTCACAAAGATCTAGAATTAATGGATTCTTACAAATTCAAGGTGCCAGTTGCCAAGGGGACTGGAATTTTTTTTTTTTGCCAATAAAACAAGGTAGATAGATGGCTGAAGATTTCCTAATTAGGAATAGGTTCCCAGATTCTATGAAGTGTTATATATTCTGCCTTTTCTCTTATTGTTCATGACATGATAATATTTCAAATACCTTCCTCATAGGATTATTGTGAGAAAAGCACTTTGCAAATCTTCAAAATGTAGAAATGTGATTCATTTGAGTTATTATTAACCTGCTGTCCATAGTGTCATGGATCTAATGTTGGATGTCTTGGGTTCATCTCCCTATTGTTGGCTCATTGTATTGTGGGGACTATAATTATACCTATGACTAAAATATTTGGGGAAATTTAACCTTCATTTCCCATATATCCATTCCTTGCTTATGTTCAGAAGTGGGAGTCTATAATTTTATATATTTTTTTAAATTAAACTTTCTTATGTAGTGGATAGAGCATTGGGCCTAAAGTCAGGAAGACTTGAGTTCAAATGCATGCTCAGACATTTACTAACTATGTGACCCTGAGCAAGTCATTTAATTTCTGTCTGTCTCAGTTTCTTCAACTGCCAAATAAGGATAATAATAGTACCTACCTCTGAGGATTGTTGGGGAGATCAAATGAGATATTTGTAAGGCACTTAGCACAGTGCCTGGCACATAATAAAAGAACATAGTACCATAGATGCTTAATAAATGTTTACTCCCTTCCTTTCCTTCCCTCCAACCCCCAAGTGGGGAGGATGGGATTGGGGAACTTAGACATTTGGTTATTTAGAGTTTGTTGGAGAAAACTTTATTTTCTTAGAGAAAATCTTAACTCTGCTGTTCTTGAGTATGTATACTGTTCTTGAGTGTGCATGTGTGCATGTGTGTATGTATATGTGTGTGTGTGTGTGTGTATGTTTTACATTTGTATTTTTATGCCTATATATTTCTGAGAACAGCAGCTTTAGAGATGAAGAGTTGTTGAGTTATTTTCTGTCATGTCTAACTTTTTATGACCCCATTTGGGATTTTCTTGTTAAAAATACTGAAGTGGTTTGCCATTTCTTTCTCCAGCTCATTTTATAGATGAGGAAACTGAGGCAAACAGGGTTAATTGACTTGCTCAGGATCCCACAGCTAATAAGTGCCTGAGGCCAGATTTGAACTCAGGAAAATGTATCTTTCTGACTCCTGGCCTGGCGTCTATCTGATGTGCCACCCAGCTGCCTCTAAGATGGAAAGACCTGGTTCAAGTCCTGCCTCTGAAACCCACTAGCTGCATGATCCTGACCAAGTCACTTAACAGTTCAGTGCTCTAGGCACCCTCTAAGATTCTCAGTTGCCAATGTTTGCTGATCTGTAAGCATTTTCCAAGTACTTACTATGTCCCAGGTACCGTACTAAGCACTAGAGATAAAAAGAAAGAGAAAAACAGCCCATGCCCTCAAGGAGTTAACATTCTAATGAGACAACATACATAGAAGTAGGTACATACAAAAGTTATACAGAGTAGATCAAAGGTAATCTCAGAGGGGATGGCACTAGCCACTGGTAAGATCAGGAAAGACCTTTGCGGAAGGTAAAATTTGAGTTGAATCTTGAGGGAAGCCAAGGAAGCTAAGACATGGAGATGGGGAACATTGGCATTCCAGGCATGGGGGATAGCCACTGCAAAGACATGGAGATGGGAGACAATATCTTGTGTGAGGAATACCAGGAATTCCCTATGCTGATAAAATCTTAAGTTTAGGACCCTATTCCCCCATCCCCCTGAAAAATATGTATTGCAAGTATATATTTGTAAAAGCTTTTCTTATGCTTCCTGGAATCATTCTCACTTTTATTTTCTATATTTCAAATATTTGTCATGTTTTTTTTTTCATAATAGATTCTTATATCCACCCTTTCTATGGATACTAGCTAATAACAACTAGCATTTATATATGTTAAGCTTTGTAAATCTCTTTACAAATATTAACCCATTTGGTCCTCAGAACAACCCTGTGAGGTAGGTGGTATTGTTATCCTCATTTTACAAATGAGGAAACTGAGGCAGACAAAAGTTAAATGACCAGGGTCACATAGCTAACAATTATGAGGCCACATTTGAACTCCTCTTTCTGACTCCAGGGCCAGTGCCCTATCTACTGTACCATATTACTGCTTCTAATTCCTACTTTAATTCCTTGATACACTAAAATTGCAGCCTTAGAGTTTGAGTGGATCTCACACCTCATCTCTTCTAACCCTAACTTAATAAGAATGCCCTCTATAGCATCCAAAAAGAAGTGACTGTCCAGCTTCTGCTTGAAGATGTCATTGGTGGGGAATTTGCTGCCTCTGGAGGAAACATCCCTCTTTGGAGCAAACCTAATTGTTAGGATGTTTTTCCTTAATCAACCCTAAGTTTGCCCTTCTGAAGCTTCCTATGAAGAATCGCAGCATTTCTGAGTTGGAAAGGGACCTCAGTGGCCATCTGGTCCAAACCATAAATGAAAGGCACTCACTGTAACAGAACTTGTAAGTAGTCATCCTGCCTCTGCTGAAAGATCTCACCATCTCTGGAGACAGTCATTGTGATGGACAGTTCTAACCATTAGGAAGTTTTCCCTGACATCAAGCCTAAACGATGAAACTCCTATCCATTTTTCCTGGTTCTGTCCTCGGGGGCTACACCAAACAAATCTTGTCTCTCCTCCAGGACCACCTGTCCAACACTCAAAGACAGCTATCTTGTCCCCAGGATGTCTTTTTTCTCCAGGCTAAGTTTGCCCAGTTTAAGAAGCATCTTACTGTATGAAATATTGAACAGAATGCCCTTAATTAGTATTACCCTGTTTACCATAATTGTAGCGTGCTTTATAGTCTGAAGACTGTCCCAGGAGAGTGGAGTTTAATTAGAAATTCAGACCAGTACAAACTAAATGAATGGCACCTTTGTTCATTGTTTTGACAGGAAGCCCATTATGAGCTAATGTGTAAGGGATGAGCTTCTGGGCTCTGAGAAAATTTCTCACAGCCCAACACAGGCCCATACGGCAGGCCTGTATCACCAAGAGCTGTGGGTGAGCCACGCTCTTCATCTGCTTCCTTTATCCTCTACTTTACCTTCTCAACAAATTATAATGTCCAAAGATCCCAAAGCATAAATCTGGAGTGGAAGTAATAGGTTAAAGCCCTTTCCACCACTACATATATGATTTTGGACAGGATTACTCTTTGGGCCTTAGTTTCCTCCTCTGTTATGATTAGGGTGTTGAACTAAATGATCCCTAAGACCCTCATAACTCCAAATCCTAAGACTCTAACGGTGCATGGTATAGATTTGGCAAATGAGAAGAAATTGTTCATAAATTCACCCAGGAGCTTGAGAGTCCATTCTCTGCCTTTTGCCATGTTGTAGCCCTCAGAGTGGGAAAGACTTTGAATTGGTCTAAAATGACTCTTTGGATGTTCTTGTTTGTCCTTATCTATGTTTATTCTGTCTGTGAAAAAACAAAAGCCAAATTTCTTCTATTACCTTTTTACTTTCATTTTGTGTATAGATGTTATAGCATAGTAGAAAGAATATTGAAATATGGGAAATAGGGAACCTGGATTTTAGCCTCAGTTGGGCACATAATTTAAACTCCCTAAGTCCTTGTTTCTTCATCTATAAAATCAGGGATGAGGAAAGGAACATACATTTATTAAGTGCCTACTATGTGCCAGTCACTGTGCTAAGAGCTTTACAAATTTTATCTTATTTGATCCTCACAACAACCCTGTAAGGTGGATACTATTATGATCCCTACCTTACAGTTGAGGAAACTGAGGCAGACAGAGGTTAACTGACTTGCGTAGGGTCAAACACCTAGAAAGTGTCTGAGGCCAACTTTGAACTCAGGACTTCCTGACTCTAGGCCCAGCATTCTATCCACTGTGCCAGTTTCAGTGATGAAAAATTATTATTATAGATGTTTTTTCCTGTTAAATCACATTCATTTATTGATATGATCCTTCTCTTTCCCTTACAGACTGAGCCATCTCTTTAAACAAATCTCAAGATAAATGAAAGAAAAATAGCTTAGCAAAGCCAGTCAGTACATCAAACCTTTCTGGTGATACCCATGTTATTCCACAGCAGTAGCTCCCTACCTCTGGGTCCATGCTTGGTCATTATAATGAGATAGTATCAGGTTATGTTTTATAAGTCTTTCCATATACACTGTTGTAGTCATATATATTTCTTTCTTTGTTTTGCTTACTTCTCTTGGTATCAGTTCATATAATTCTTCCTGTGATCTTCTCAATTCTTCGGTTTCTTACCACTCAGTAATATTTTATTACATTTATTTACCAACACATTTTGCTTATCTGTTTCTCAATTGATGAATACCTATTTTATTTCTAATTGTTTGCCACTACAAAAGCATTGTTATGATGTATGGATATAAAGCTATCAATTCAGCAGCAGCATAGGATAACATTCCCAAATTAGCTTTTGGGATTCAGGAGATACAGAACCAAGTAAAATATTTAATTTTTGTCTTCCCACAGGGAGCTAACAGAATGAGAGGCCGTCTAGGGAGCATGGACAGCTTTGAAAGGTCCAACAGTCTTGCTTCAGAGAAGGTACCAAATGAAGGCTGAATAAATGCTACTGTCTTAGGACTTAATAGTTTGTTGCAGGTTTCAGGGATATATAAACTAATGTACTGTGACTTGCTTGGCATAATCCACTTACACACAAGATACATACTACTGTTTGAATTTTTATGTATGTATTTTATATTTTGATATTTTTTGAACATTGTTAAAGTTGACTTGGTAATATGTTTACATACTACTGATCTTGAAGAGTTCAATTGGACTCCATTGGTGCTTGGGGACAATAAATATCTCCCCTTTTTATAGGCTACCTGTGTTACAACAAGCTTTTTTTGCCATGCGGAGTGGTGATGCAATTTGATCCTCAGTACATACAAATTCATATAATAATGAGCTGTTTAGTTAAAGTACAGTTTTGTTGTATTTTAGAACTAATTTCATTTTTGTTCTCTTTCCTCTCACTTTTTTTTCTCTTAATTGAAACTCCACATTCACATTTTTCTTTTAGAAAATATCCTTCTTGTTTTTTCTCCTGGCTTTTGATAATCCTGAAAATTAAAGCATACTTATGTTAATTTCTTTTAAAATATACTTCACAATTTGAAGTCTATTCAAACTAATTTCTTTTTAAACTTACAAAAAGTAGTTTTAATAAACTTTTTGTTTGTGGAGTTTTCCTAACCAAGAATTTATTCCAAACTTTATTGGTCTCAGCAGACTAAAAAACATGACTTATGTAGTGACTGTTCTGTAACATATAAACAATGTACCTGTCTGAATTGGAAGATTTATTAGACTTGTCCATGCAATATGAGAGACATACCGGCATAGCTGACTTTTCATTTATTTCCTGTTTTTCATGTTTTTCAATTTACCTCAGGCAACACGTAGTTGGACAATAGTTTACCCAGGGGACAAGGATGCGTAACAGATTTTATTATTTTATTTTCCTGATGCTGCTGCTGCTAAAGCTGGACAATCAGACTGTGTTATATTGTTTTGACAGTACAGGAAGTATGCAACTGATATGTCAAGGAAATTAGCAGACATATATACACAAACCCCGCCCACTTTTGGTCATGATCTCTTTTCATCTTTCTGCCAACAATCAGAAGTACAGTAGCTACAGCATTTTATTGCCACAAAGTGTCCGAGGAAAGAATACCTTGTCTTATCACCACTTTCTCATTTTGGTCTGTCTTTATGGATGCTTTTGTCCCAGAGCAAGCTTATCAAAAGAAGTTGGTCATGCTACTACTGATTAGCATGCAGCATGGCTTAAGTAAAAAAGGCAATTTGCTCATGGCCCAGGAAGAAGAAGAGACATCCTCTCTCTTTTGAGCTATATCTGGTCAGGCCTGACATGCTTTCTGTGAGAAAGCAAGGCCTCACTCCCTTTTGATTTCTTCTCAGGACTGTTCACCAGGTGACTCTCCACCAGGCACCCCGCCAGCCTCCCCACTGTACTCAGCCTGGCAGACATTCCCTGAAGAGGACTCGGACTCCCCTCAGTTTCGAAGGCGGGCACACACATTCAGCCATCCCCCCTCAAGTACAAAGAGAAAGATTGCCTTACAGGATGGGCGATCTCATGGTGTTCGGTCTCCTCTCCTGAGACAGAATTCCATTGAACAATGCAGGTGAGTCTGAACTTTCCTTCCTATCGGAATTGGCTGTGCTGTTTTGATGAGAGTTTTGCTGGGAGGAAAATGCCATTATACAAAAAAGCATACAATGTTAGACCCTATTTTCTGTAGAGGGAGGAGAAAGGAGCTCTATAGATTTATCAGTGTGCTAAAAAATAGCATTATAATGTTGGTTAGTCCAAGTTGTGCATTATGCATATTGCTTGGAAGAAACTACGAAACCCCAACTAACAGAAAACCTGCAAGCAGAGGTTTAAGATATATCAGCAGCCTATTTATGTTCAATAAAGGGAAAGGATTGAAGGGGGTTATCATGAAGTTATTGTGACTGAAATTTGCTGACTACACCAGTTAGTCAGTGGCTTCTAGATAATGGCTACAAAGAAATGAAGTCAACAAGTCTTAAAATAACTAATCACTAGAACTTCCTGTTCACACAGAATCAAATGACTAGATAAGGCATATACTAAATTAATTTTAAACTTGGGATAATAATTTTGTTAAATGTAAAATAACATGTAAGAGATGATTCTTTTGAGTTTCCCTCTAGAATGAAATAAGTAGCCTTAATGATGAAAACAATGCATACGATAGTTGACATGGAAGTATAGCAACCTGAAAAACACTCTCAAGCATTTATGTAACATGGTATTTCAGAGTTAATTTTATTATGTCATCTTTGTCATGATATGATAAGTGTTAAAATTATGTTCTGGGACTATAGGATAATGTGCATGCTTAATACTGTCTTCTCACTATGTAACTGAAATAAAAATTTGTTTCCCAGACCTCAGATTCTTTCTCTTCCTGATATATAAGAAGTTAATTAGAAAATATATGGTAGGCACCATGGAGAGGATGATGTTAAATCTTATATTGATTATTGTCAGCTTTACTAGTGTTAAAAATTTCTAGAAGTTATTAGGACTAAAGATGGCAAAAAATGTTTTAAAGGAATATTATATGAAAGTAAATAAATTGAGGCAAATCTTCTTTCTTTTCTTCCTATGTAAAGATATCCCTTTGCCTCATATTTTGTAATATCTTCATAAAAATGAAAGAAATTATTTTAATATTTATATAAAAGATATTATGAAGAAAAGTAAAACAAAAATTATATTTATATTTACCTAAGACAGTCAATCTTTTCTTTCTCAGGATGAAGTCTATTACGCCCAGTTCAGGAGTTTAAAATGAATGCTCTTACTGAGTGCTTTTTTTCAGTCCCCAGACAAGCAGACAAAATACCCTTCAGAATGTGTCAATTAAATTAATTATGAACTTATCTTTTTAAAAACTAAGAAAAGAAGGGATCACTTTGAGGTCAAGCTAGTGCAAGAAGGTGCTATTTATGGTAATCCAGTGCAGGTTAGCAGATTTATTTTTTAAAATGCTCTGTGAGCTACATGTATAAAGACCTTGGATGAGAAAAGCAAAAATCAGTGAAAACTGGTGTTATATTAAACTGAAATTTAGATATTGATTTCCAAAAGCAAAACACGTTGTTCCTTTATTTTTAGAAAAGCTTACTATTTTATTTAAGATAGTCAGGCCTTTGAAGTCCTGATAACCTGCTTTTTTTTTGTGGAATTTGTTTCCTGTGATTATTTCCTATGAAATTTATCTTACATGTGAAAACAAACAACATTCTGTCCTAAAATTGTTATAATACTTTAAAGACAAATGCATGATGTAAGAGATACTGCATAAATTAGAAAGCATAACATTGGATTGTGAAAGAAGGGTATTGTGCACAGAGAGTGATATGTTAGCTTTCTCAAGTCTAGTTCCACACTTTCATTTTTTTCTTACATAATTAATTGATATCAAGAGTCTATTTAAAAGATTTTTTTTCTTAGTGAATAAAAATCTTAACTGTTGTACCATAAATTAAAACAAATTTGCTGTATTTTCTGTGCTTAGCGTTCTTCCATCAGGTCGACGCATTCACAAGGAGAGTAAATCTTCTTCTTCCAGTCTTCCAAGTCTTCATACTTCCATCTCTGCCCCTTCCTTCTCTGCCCCCTCTTTCCTGAAAAGCTTTTACCAGAGTTCAGGTAGACTGTCCCCACAGTATGAAAATGAAATAAGGTGAGAGCAGTAGCCTCTGTTGGCAAAGAAAACATTTTCTAGAGTGCTTCTGGTATGCTTATATGCTAATAAAAATTAATAAATTTTGGAGTGACATCTATCTATGTATCCTTCTTTGTGCTAATCTCTAATTTGTTTTTCTAAATATTTGATTTGTTTCTGGTTGAGTATCCTAATGAGAGAGAGTTTTGAAAGTAGAAAATTAACCCAAGTGAAGAACCAGTATTTGAAATCAGTAGTTTTCATGCTTTTTTCTAGTGTGGACCCTATCTTAATTTATCCCCCAGACCTCAGAATCCTAAACTTAGGTGTGGTGATAGAATGAGACCTGGAGCTGACAATATTAAATAACTTCTTTCCATGAATCCGTAGACCTGCCTCTTGAAATGCCATAGTTCCTTAGAACAAAGTTTGAAAGCTACTGATAAATGACTTCACCTAAGGAAGGTGATTGATGCATGTTAGTAATTTTTTTGAATGGTTCAGTTACTCTGATTAATTTTCTTTGACATGGATCTAATTTTCTGTGTTTAAATGAATATAGGATTCCAGAACCCACAATTCTAAATAACAGTTGGGGGGATGGATAGGGGTGAGGAGGTAAGGGAGATTAATGATGATTTTTCACTCTAAAAAAGGGTATTTTAATAATTGTGTATTCATTGTGATGTTGTCACAATTTATAGTACATGAGAAGAGTAAGCAATGAGATTGTGTTTAAAAATAACATATGTAACATTTTATACTCAGTAAGCATTTATTAACCTACTAGCTTTCAGACACCATACTAAGTGGTAGGGATACAAAACTAAGGTAAAAGATGGTCCTGCTTTCAAAGAACTTACAGTTTAATGGGAGAGTCAGCATGCAAATTTTCATGCAGATACAAGATAGCGTACAATGTAAATGAAAGGTAGTTCCTGAGCATAGACACTAGCAGTGGGGGGAGAACATGAAAGACCCTGTGAAGAAGCTGGGATTTTAGCTGGGGTTTGAAGGAATCCAGGAGACAGAGATGAGAAGAGAGAGCATTCCAGGTGTGGGGGACAGCCATTGAAAATGACCAGAGTCAGGATATAGAGTTTCTTGTTTTAGGAACAGCAAAGAGGCCAGTGTCCCTGTATTGTGGAATACATGGTGGGCAGTAAGATGTAAGAAGACTGGAAAGGTAGGAGGGGGCTAGGTTATGAAGGGACTTGAACTCAAACAGAGGACTTTGATATTTGATCTTTGAGATGATAGAAAGTCACTCCAGTAGGGAAGTGACATAGGCAGACCTGTACGTTAGGAAAATCACTTTAACATCCAAGTGAAAAATGACTGAATAGATGGAGAGAGACTTGAGACAGGGAAACTGACCAGCAGGGTATTGCAGTAGTCCAGGTGTGAGATGATGAGGAACTGCCAGGCAGTGGTAGCAGTGTCAGAGGAGAGAAGTAACAGATAAAATCAACAGGCCTTGGCAACAGATTAAATATGGGAGGTGAGAGAGAGGGTGAGAAGTTGAGGATGATAGTAGGTTTTGAGCTTGGGTGAATGGGAGAATGGTTGTTTCCTGGATAGTAATAAAGAAATTTTGACAAGAAGAATATTTGAGGTGTAAAGAGAAAAGTTCATTTTTTTTTTTGATGTTGAGTTTAAGATTTCTATGGGACATCTAGTTTAAGATATCCAATAGGCAGTGGGAGATATGAGACTGGAGGTCAAGAGAGATTAGGGCAGGATAAGTAGATTTGAGAATGATCAGCATAGAGATGATAATTAAAACTATGGGAGCATATAGGATCACTAAGTGAAATAGTTTAGAGAGAGAGAGAAGAGAGCCCAGGACATTTTAGAAACATGCATTGATGACCATAATCTACTCTATTTTTAATTTATGCTTATACAATAAATTATAGTAGTCTCTGAGAGATTCTGCTTCAGAGTGAGCAAGGGTATTTTAATGTAGAAGTTGATCACTTTGAAAAATGCAGTGCCATATTCTGTTCATCTAGTGTGTGGAGAATAGGAGGTGGTGACTATGTTTTGACCTGGTTGTGAGGTGCTGTACTGATTGTCTATTCTTGCATAGGACTGATAGTTTTGAGCATGGCAACTATTTTACATATATATTTATATGTATGTGTGTATCTGTGTGTATGTATATATATGTGTGTGTATGTATATCTGTCACACACACACACACACACACACACACGACTCATCAGGAGAGAGGGAATGACAACTAGCTTACATGACACTTAAAGTAAGCCCACGTGGCATTTTTTATCACGTGTACTTCATGTGGCAACCGTGTGTTACCAAAAAATAAAGTATTTCATAAGCTCTGATATATAGCTCCATTTTTAGAGATCTCTGCACCAAATGTCTGCTCCCCAAGTGTGTTTGCCTCTGCACTGGATGGAGAGATAATAGTTTTTAATCTGTGTAGTTTTAAATCTGGACTTGCTGTAAACTAAGAACAGAATTTAATTTCTAATGAGGGAGATTGGGGAAGGAGTGGCGTTACAAATTTTCTCATAAATAATTTAGCTGGAGGTTATATGCACTCAATGTGTAACAATATATTTAACCAGACTGATCCTTATGAAGTATTCAGTGAGTTAAGAGTAATCTGTTTTGTGTTCATGGGTATTAAATGTAGGCTTTGTTTGCATAGTACCCTCTTCTCTCATCTACCCCCACTTCTAGCCATTGATTGCAAGACTTGGGATGAAGCCCATGAGACATTTAAGTACAGTATTGGATAAATCAGAAAAGCAAGAGAAATAGCAGGGAGAATCCCATTTTGCAAAAATGTTATTCCTCCAAATGAGAAGGTCTGTTAATAATATTGTAGGTGAAATTTGGTTGGGGGAATGTAGACAACAAAAATAATTATTTTACCTTTTAAAAATTATTTCTCTATGCCATTTTTAATGTGGGTGTGTTTTTCTTTAGAATTGATTCTAATATTTACATTTGCTTCTTTTCTGTGGAGTATGGAAATATTGAATCCAGAGGAGTACACTAAATTTCACTGGAAATTATAGTTCTGTCTGTCAGCTTACTTCAAAAGCCAGGCTTACAGTGGAGTACGTTGGAAGTTTTGGAATCATTTTTGTGAAGTTAATTATTTTATTTTGTTGCAGCTGTTGTGTGACTTAGCACCCCAGATCAAAGTGCTCTAAACCTTTCTGACCAAACAATATGGAGACTTTGTATCCCATGGATCATGTGTACTGGGTGTCTTAAAATTCCTAGTGCAGTTTTAAGCCTCATTAAGTTAACTACTTTAAGGCTTTGGGGACACCCTCTGTTTAGAATGACCAGCAAAAATCTGGGATTGGTTGATTTCTCAAATTTGTATCCCACACAACAGTTTGCTTCATCCTAATCTTTCATCTTACCTTACCTATGACATGTGAGAGTAAAGATAAACTGAAATTTTAATGAATGATTTTGATTTTACTTGGATGTCTCTTAGGAAATAGACTTCATGGGTTTCTGAGTATCTGTAACCAAGTAAGATGCCCAAATGGAAAGCAACAGGATGATAAAGTACAATGCCTTCACAAAGTAGATGAATTTATAAAGATTTGTTGCTCACCATAAGTATACCTCTCCAGAACCATCATCCTGAACCTTGGGTGTTTAAGTTATTTTCATATCCTGATTTGGTGTTATCTAAAGGAGAATAAATATTCTATTTTATCTCATTTCCAAAGTGGTGGTATAATGATCAGTATATCAAATATATTTTATGTCAACCTGTTGTAATGATTCTTAAAATTTTATCTAAAAGCTTCTAGAATAGGTTCTTTTAAAGTTATTATTACCAAAATTTATAAATCCAAAGTAAATAAGAGTTATTCCTCTTCATTTTCATCATTTTCATATTCATCTTTACTACTCTATGCTGGGAAAATGAAATATATCATAGGCAAGATGTTCTGAGATATCATATTGATATTTTCCTATACTTACTGACAAAAATAGTGTAAGCCTTAATTAGGTGTTGTAATTGTTTGAATTATGTTGGCAAATCATCATAGGGTCTTAAGACAAACCTTTTCAATGATTTACCATGATTTTAGACATTTATCTTTGTTGTTATGCTAATGCCCTTCCTTGTTTCCCTATTGCACTAGAATGAAGGACTCTGCTTCAGAATCAAGGTTATTGGAAGTTTAAGTATGCTAATGTGTCATGAAGAAAGAAGGCTCATTAATTTTATTTAGTTCCTGTTGTCATTAATCCGCCTTTCCCTATATACCTGGTTTTTAAAAAAATTTAATATTCTCATATTTATTATTTTAAAACATTTATTGGGTATCTGTTGGATGCATGACATTGATTTGGGTGTTCTGGGAGTTATATAAATAAGGGGATGTGTTCCCTGTTCTCAAGAAGTTTACTTTATGAGTCTTTTCTTAGTAATTCTAATGAGAACTCTGTTTCTACTCTTCTCCATGTTGGCATTTCCAGAAAACTACAATGGCCTCCATCCCAAGCCTGGTAACATTGATAATAAAACCCTTCTTTTGTGGAGCTTAATGTACAACTGGAAATAATGAGTATTGTAGATAGCTACCTGTAAAGAAATATACCTATATAACATAATATTTGTTTTTCATATATTTTATAATGGTTATAAGACGAGATTAATAAAATATTTCTGACCATTTCAGTACTCCAGTGGATCAAGCTAGACCCACTATGGACTTTCAGGTCCCTGTAAGCTAGCTTTATAGAAAAGTAAGACTAGGACTTGGATCTTGGTTTCTTATTCACCAGGTCTGTTTAACTTCTTATTTAAGAGTTTGACTACATCTTCGGTAACTCAAAAAAAAATCTTCATTTCCTCTTGACACTTAGATGTGCTTTATGGATAAATGTCCATAACCCGTGATAGGTTAACTGTAGCTGTACTACCTCAGAATTATTTCCTAGATTTCATGTAGATACGATTTTTGAACGATATGCTTTTTGAAAATATAAATTAATTTTGAACTTTA